TATGAATGAATTTCAATAATAAACATAAATATCATGTATGCTGTGGGTTTACATATCAATAAAGTCAGTATTAACAAAACCAAATAGATTCATGTGAATTATAGTTTTTTAGGCTTTATGCTGTCAAAATATTTTATCTGAAAAGGCAATTATCATAAATGTTCTACATATTAACAGCATCTGGGTTCTCATGTTTCATGGAAATAGTTAAGTTGTTGTTTGTGTGTGTGCTGGGCAAGCAAGGTGTTGCCATAGGACCTATTTAGGTCCGTAGTGTTGCCCATATATAATCAATTTCATGACCTATGATAATAAACAGTGACATTAATTGCAGGAAAGAGTATAAAAAATAGACTGTGCAATGAGTGTTGTTTAAATTCATTTTTTGTGTGTGGTAAAGTCAATAACCATTGGTACTTTGAGGGGTTTTTAAACTCCATAATGAAGTGTTTGGTGTTTGAATAAGCTTATTGATGATTAATGGCCATAGGTGTTTTACAATAAAAAAAATAATGAGGGGGTGAATGTGTATGCTGTACCAACATTCTAAAAGGGTTAGAGTTACTTTTAATACATTTGCATTACTAAATATATATGTTCTGTTAAAGAGTATCTGTATGATCATTGTGTTTATTCCATTTTTTAAGAATCATTTTCATACATATAAATGGTTATTTATCTTTGGCGTCAATGTGGTCTATCACTGAATTCAAGATTTAAGGAATATTACATATACAAATGAATTCTTTTGCTTGTGTTGTTGCATAATAACAGGAAAAATAAATCATCTGTTATTTGTTCCATTAAGTATAGAACAGCATCAATATTCTTATTCTTATTACACCTTTTCAGCAATGATGCTGCAATTTTAGTTTAAGGATAATTGGTATGATATACCTTCGTATTTTGTGACATATGAAAGCATTTTTGGGAAAGGAAAATTTAATGTGATTTGTACAAAATATCACCAAGAAGATTTACAACTAACAAAGACTCATAAACAACATTTCATGATGAGAGGATTCATCTTGGGCACCCTAAATGTTCAGTTGTTCCTACCCTGATACAAACATATAATTGATCAATAAGTCAAATGTTCCGACTTCCTTACACACTAGTTACAAACACCTATGTTTCTATACCTTCAATTGGTCAGGATGTAATACAAGCAGCATTTCATAAATCTCTCTTAAGCCAATTATTATCAACAAAAGAAGTTTTCTCAGGAAATTGTATACCTTGTCTAAATGCATGGAAAGCATTATGTTGACCACAACAATCACATTTATATATAAGCCAATTTGATGAGAAGCATTACAATAATTTTCATTTCGGTTTTATAAAACATTATTTACTATTATTTCAGCAATGTTAAACGGATAGATTATAGCATTACAATAATTTTCATTTCGGTTTTATAAAACATTATTTACTATTATTTCAGCAATGTTTAATGGATAGATTATTTTCTTTGTACAAAGAATAAAATAAATAAGTTTAAATTAGTTTTAATAAAGAATGCTTGCCTTAGGTGGTTGCAAAGATTGACACCTAATCATGTACATGTTTAGTGACAATGCTGTCGGATATAATCGCATAAAATGACTGATTCCAATGTGAGTCCTCATCATGCCTTGTATGCAGTTTGGTCACCATTTTTTTAACTGAAACAAAGGTATATCTAAAATAAACTTCATATATTATTTACTTGAAGAGCTGTTTGTAAAGGAATGTTTAAGAAATACTAGATGTTGCATCAAGGAGATGAACAATCAGTGTTAAAACAAAATTTTCCAAGAAAATAACACTTCACCCAAGATTTAGAAAGACCAGTATGTATCTCAACAGAGAACCTCAATATCATTAACTAATGCCAAAAACTAGTTAATGTAAATAATGTGCAGTTTTCACTTCCCATAAGAATATTCTATCAGCAAGCCAATCATTTCATCCAAGGAGTAATGTGTTTTATTTCCTTTTATTCATCAGCAATGGGCTATGCTTCAGGTAAAAAACATGTTTCTTCAGCACTCATACCTCACAGAAAGCTAACATCTTGACATGAAATACCATATCCTCCTTACATTGACACGGATATTATTAAAAGCATAAATAAATATCACTTTTATCTCTTGATTATATACCTACATACATCAGTTGAAATAATTATCACTGAGGAAAGAATTTGCATGCTGTCAGGGGACTGATCTGATATTTTGAAAAATCAGGAACAAAATAACAATCATTTCATGTCAAACATGACATTCTTATCATAAGGATTGATGTATTACTCTAACAATGGTATATCAATTCTGTTGCCTTCAAAACTAGTTACCAAAGTGTCCCTTACAAAGAACCTTACATGAAATAATTCTACACTTACCCCACTCCAAACAAAACATATATCACTGGATGGACATTCTGCAGCCTGCTCATTATGCTTGAGTGCTCCAATAGTTAAACCCTATGTGCCAAAATAACATTCCCAAATGACAAGACAGTTATTTAATGACCAAACCCAATATTTATCATTGGCATTGACTCCTTCCATACTATGTCAGATCATTAAAGGAAACATGAGGATGACACATGTAACATGACCCTTGTGACACACAACACCTAGTTTATGACCAAACCAAATATTTATCAATGACATGAACAAGATATGCATACATTTTCACTTTAAGCTTCATCAAAACAGTAATTCATCCATGAAACATTGCATCCTTGTAGCAGAAGTTTTCTGATAAAACCAGATATACATCAAATCTTGATAAGTCACCACACTATAAAAGGATTTTGTTACGAGTGTAACTCAACCAAGCCCATTTTGCCATTCCGAAAAGATAAAATTGAGCTCTAAGCTACGTTAAACATTTCACATAAAGTAGATTTCTCTCCAAGTGCTGTACTTAGTGACAACTTTGGCAATCCTTCTGTCATCAAACAGGAAACAGCATTTTGTTAATCTCAAACTGTATCTACATCTGTCCTTATAATCACTAGAACCAACAGCTCAGTGATGTTTAAAACATAGGACACGATCAAAACTGAACAAAATTCTCTTGATGCCTTACCATATAGATGACTTATTTACTATTTGTACTTTTACATGCCACCATTGCTTTCCTGCCTCATTTAAACAAAACCATGTTGATCACCTTGGAGCCTCAGTGCAAACAAAGTTTCTGATGCAAAGACACAGATGTTCAACTCTATCAATGTCATGCTCAATCTATATTTTGGATTTAAGGATGACTAGAACAAATGCCAAAGCAAATGACAAAATTCTGTGAGTTTCATGACAACAAGCATTCTTACATCACATATTCAACATCATAAACATGTGAGGAAAACTGCAGAACAGTGAATAATACATTTTAACCATCAACAAATTAAGAAAAACACAACCCCAAATCCTTAACTAGCAGAGCAAAACTTGAATAACCAACAATTCCTAGTAATGTTTAAACAAATTAAATGTTTCCCATTACCTCAACAACTGTATGCATGTCAAACAAACAGAAGAAATGTGTATTTTTAAACCAGAAATATGAAAGATGAAATAAATAAACCTACCTCCAGCATCTTGAAAGTCCTGATAATAATAGCCAATATTTTCATACATTCCTTGATACCTGTGGTAAAAACTTAGGCGAGCACGAGTCGATCTCTTACATTAAATGACACTACTCTAAAGTAAGAAGAGAGAGCAGAGCTGCTGCCTCGCTACTGTCAGTGGTAAAGGCTTCTACTGTATTGATCAGCGAAACACTCTTTAAAAATGCTTGCTTCGACTTGCTGAGGCACACAGCATGAATTTTAATCAATACATCGTACAGGTTTGAATGAATGCAAGGAGGTGAAGTTCGTATGAGGGAAGGCAGGTTCCGTTCCTTCGTCAAGCAGGTTTTTTTGTATTTGTACACCAACTTACACAATATTTTATTTGAAAATTATCCTTCATGTTATTTTAAATGATACAGTGTACGAGTTTAAATGAAAGGCAATGCATAGGAATAGCATGTTTGTTATACCGTTCGAGTGAATTTTTTAGATCACATGCCATTATTCTGGTTAGTTGCACCATGCCTCTGTGTTAAAACTGGTTTAAGTTGGTGTTTTTTGTGCATTATCATGGATGAAATTAGTTTTAAAATCTGTTGAAATCCTTTAAATGAGAGGTATGCATTTGAATTTTTGTACATTAGGTTTTTGTTAAGCATTTCAGTGTGTATGGCTATTATATATATTTGTTAACTGTGATAGGAGAATCTTTATTCTTCATAAGCATACATTATGTATTTTTAAAAACATACAAATATTTAAATGATATGAAGACAAAGGATACATAAAATGATCCATGACTCTCAGGTCCCTAATTGATAGTGATTCTTAAACACAAGATTATTATACAGACGGAATCGTACAATGGACTCAATGGAGATTTCTCATGCTTATGAAAAGGGTTTTGTTGCTCTTATTTCTATTGAAATAACTTGTTCGTGGCTATTTTAGAGTTTGAATGTATCGCACCATGTATCGGGATGGATTTTGAGGTTATCTCCTTCAGCATCAGTTATTGGAAATACAAATTATATTCCTTGAAGCATGAAACAGTTCTTTTCAAGATCTTTCAAATATTCATATTTGTAGTTTAAACTCAGCATGTTTTCAAGCAAACTATATGTCAAAAACAACATATATAAATTCACCAACTAAAATTGTTCGTTTAACAAAATACTGTAAGAGTCTCACAATACCCATTTCTAGAATGCACATTTACATTTCGTTTGTCTATTTTTCAAGTTTTTATTTTGATATGATATTTTGCCATACAAAAATCTTTTTCCCACAAGTGTATTCATCCAATTATTGTTTGATATTGAAAATAATCAAAACATTTCTTCTTTCATAAAACACATGCATATATGTTTGAATATTTCATTATACACAAACACATTTAACACTTAAGGTTTACAGAAATTTGTTTTGTCAACGGTGGTATTTTTGGTCTGTTGTTTATGAATGTGGCTTTTCTCAGATTTTTTCCTGAATTATTGGTAGCTAGATTATTGTTAAGTACATAGTAAAATAAATTATGCAAGAAAATATTTGTATAGGATATTTTATCTTCAAATTTGTTTTAAATGTATTCTTAATCTCAAATGACAAATTAGGTCAAAATGTTTTCTAATGTAGTGATAATGGGTGTCTGCTTTCTGCATGGTTATGTCAGTGATAAGAAATGTCATCGGTTCTGAGGATCTTAGCTGTACAGAAATAGATGTGTTATCTCCATGAAAAGATAGATACCATATCTATCAAGAACAATGTCTTCAACTGATCAAAACATTTTATACCCTCTGATGACTTTTCAGTAATTAAGATCATTTTAAATGACTATACACAAAAACAGTTCATTATTTTCTCAGAATGCAAAGAAGAGATTTTACAAACAGAAACGGACTCAGAAGCAAGTGGATTCTATTTGTTAATTTTTGGTTTAATTTAGAAACAGCCAAGAAAACTGAGATGGCTTTGAAACCATCAATGGGTTGGACATTATGTGAGCATGTGGGGCCTTGTACCAGCTGCATGTGTGACGAGCACACACATAAAACACAGGGATAGCCCTTTACAAAAGTCACTGTTTTAGCAGGGCAACACATTTAATGGGTCAGCACAATGTCAGGAGGTATGTCTGTTGTTGTCATAGTAACTATACTTTTAAAAGATAGGAATTGTTTACTTAAAGTAACAAAAGTATAATTATTATTATACAGATTAAAATATATAAATGCAGCAAAGAGGACTCTTGTGACTCTAGTAATATTATTATTATTATTATTTTTTATTATTATTTTTTATATGTTTACTTTTATTTTTTATACATTTAAACGGCAACAGAGGTTTACAATATTATACAACTGTTAGGAACAAACATTTCAGCCCATATTTAGCAGATATGGACATTTAAAAAAGGACACACGATCATATATCAATCTTTGTTTCCAGTCCATGAATATGGGTTTTGGAAAACATTATTCTGTACCTACAGTCTTTATGAGTTTGCACTGGTGGTTATCAGTACTTATTGGTAAAGTAGCAATTTCAAAGATAACAAACCTGCTAGCCCCTGAGTATGTACACCTGTAATGAAAGCAATTACTAGCATGATGCTTCAATTTATTTTTTTCACTCAAAGAAGACAATGATAGGACTTATAAGAGGTTTATGATTTCAGATACTATTAACATGATGAATAAACAATGACACAGATTTTCATCCATAGTTTTCAAATGGGTGTGGTTTTATGGAATTATTAACTTTTTGTCAGTTTTCCACCACAAAAACTTTGACAATTAAGTAATTATGCACAAATAACAAAATTTATGGCTTATCTGAAAATGAATATAAAATGTATTTTAGATGTTATGGCAACACAGTGGTAGAAAGGAAAGAATTGATATTTTGCACTAGAGCTGTTTTTCATACAATCTGGTACCATTAACTCTGGGGTGTGGTGATGATAATTCATCATCTAAACATCTAATTGGTAAAGCCTGGGTTTAAATTTTTTGAAAGTGAGTTATTCATTTGAGAAAAAGATATTTCAGGAAGGACTGATAGATCTGCATTTTAGAAAAAGTGCAGCTGGTTGAAAACTAGGAGGTTAATTTAAAAGAAGAAGCCATGCAATTATTTGAATTAGGATTGTGTGTTTCAGGGAAATGGCGGCATGGAAAAGTTCACTGAGAGTGGCATGTTGGCTGAGTTAAATTACAGTACATTGTCTTCAGGGTCATGCATCAATAAGGTAGGCTTGCTAAAACAGTTGTTGAAATTAGAAAAGGTGCAATAAGTAACACTTGGTGAGTAAGGAAAAACACAATCATGAGCAATTTTGATTGAATTGATACAAGTATACTCCCAATTCAGTATTTTTCTTTTTAAACATTATTATCATATCGTTAATGAAAAGGTTTAAAAAAATATCATACTTGACTTTTTCTTATAAATGCATAAAGGCATTGGTAGAACAAGTTCTCAAGGATATTCTCAGTAATCAGGTGCATTAACAAGAATACATTTCTTGTAACACACAATCACATCAGGTTATACCTGCAGAGAGAAGATGTGATATGGTTGATTTATTAAGTTTTGTAACATTCATTCATCTCTTTGACATAAATCCAATTTCTAGTAATTTATTACCTAGCAAAGCCTAAATTACATTATAAATAATAATCAATTAGAGAAGAAGCATGAAAATATTTAGTTGACCATAAAGTCTGAGCTTTGAACTTATAATTGTGTTTTGGATATGGAAACAAATTTGAAAATTGGATGTCAATAATATTCCTACCAGCTGTTTTTTCCCAACCAATTGTGAAAATGAACAATTATCCTCTCATCAACAAATTCCTATGGATTTCAGTTATTACTTTTGTAATGAAATAAATAAAAACAAATAATTCAGCAAAATAGATAAAATAGACATCTTAATAGTACCTACATTATACATTTATTTGATTAAAAAATATAATCACATGGTATAAAAAGACATTTCAAAAAGGTGTAAAAATAAAAGGTAATTTTGTAAGTAATGAGTAATAAATTCATATTTGACATCTTAGTAACAGAGCCCACAGAATAAAAAAACAAGTGGAAGTGATGAAAAGAGTATGAATGCCATTTACCAAGCATGAAAAGCTAATGGCTCTTCAGACTGTCCAATGTAGATAAAATGACGATGCTCTGCTCTGCTTGCCATTTTCTTGATATATTCATTTATGTGAAATCAAGTCAAAACGATACCATCAAAACTGTTCTCAAACACGCAACAGAAACCAGCCATAGATGTACTCTACTGGTTTTACAGCTATTTTGCATGATAAATCTTCTCTCTGCGTTCAATTATTGAACAGACTGCATGGTTGATTTAGTTGACCTTTGAATGACATTATTTTGCAAAACTGTCATTTTGAAATTCCACAGTTCAAAATTTGAAATAGCCCCTATGACAATTAAGGATCGTAAAAAAAATTCTGTGTGTATATGTCATTTCTTTTTAGCTTTTCATCCGCCATGGTCTAATATTGAATCGTAGTTGAATACACATGAGGAATTTCAAAGGAATTCTTCTTAATATGATCATTTACTTATGAAAATTCAAGAGTGTTTTCTCAAGTGTCTTGATAGCCAAAGTGAAAAAGTAGCAATGAAAACACTAACAGAGGCCCTCAGCACCAAAATATTGGAGAAAAAGAAATATTCTTTTATAACAAGGGAATTAGGGTTTATCTGTGTTTTTACACATTACTTTTACTGTTGGTGGTTCCAACTTCTGCCAAAACATCCTATATATGGTTGCATGTGACAGAGCATTGGCATGACCTTTTCAGCAGGGCACCATTGTGATCAGGATCACCCAAGTAATGACAGTGATCCCATATCTCATCTGCATTTCATCTTGTCCATTAGTGTATGAAGACATTGTGACATTGTGTAGGATAACCATTTCTAGGATTGTGAACAGTGTCACTAGATTCGGGTCTCATTTCTTTTAAATTCCCCATAAAGGGGAAGCACAGAGAAGCACAAGGGCCCTTGTCAACTACCTTTATGTAACGACAAACAGTGGTTCCCATCTCCAAGCAGGAAGGAAAAGACTCAAGCACAGCAAGCAGTGTGTCTGTGAAGACCCAATCCAAAAGCAGCTGGAGCCTCATGCAGCCTGGCCAGACTGGTTGCTCAGGCATGAAGGTTCCGTGCTTCTGGAATGGGGCTTGCAACTAGAGCAACTTCTGACTTCACTCCTGACTCCCGTCCTGAATCCACCCCTGTCTCCCCTCCTGAATCTCCCCTAAATGTGTCCTGAATCCTCTCCTGACCCTTCTCCTCTCCCTTCCTGACTCCTCTTCTGATTCCTCTCCTCAATCCCCTTCTGATTCCTCTCCTCGCTCCCCTCCTGATTCCTTTCCTCACTACAATCCTGATTCTTCTCACTCCCCTCCTGATTCCTTTCCTCACTACAATCCTGATTCTTCTCACTCCCCTCCTGATTCCTCTCCTCACTACAATCTTGATTATTCTCCTCACTACAATCCTGATTCCTCTCCTCACTACAATCCTGATTCTTCTCACTCCCCTTCTGATTCCTCTCCTCACTACAATCCTGATTATTCTCCTCACTACAATCCTGATTCCTCTCCTCACTACAATCCTGATTCTTCTCACTCCCCTCCTGATTCCTCTCCTCACTACAATCCTGATTCCTCTCCTCACTACAATCCTGATTCCTCTCCTCACTCCCCTCCTGAATCCTCTCCTCACTCCCCTCCTGAATCCTTTCCTGACTATTCTCCAAACTCCCCTCCTGATTCCTCTCCAAACTCTCCTCCTGATTCCTCTCCTCACTCCCCTCCTGAATCCTTTCCTGACTATTCTCCGAACTCCCCTCCTGATTCCTCTCCAAACTCTCCTCCTGATTCCTCTCCTCACTCCCCTCCTGAATCCTTTCCTGACTATTCTCCGAACTCCCCTCCTGATTCCTCTCCAAACTCTCCTCCTGATTCCTCTCCTCACTACCCTCCTGAATCCTTCCTGAATGTCAATCACTTTTAGACATTTTTAACATGACACCAATTCTTGAAGAAGAAGTTTAGGATTATCTCATAGCAAAGGAAAGCCATGTGGACACCTGTATGCACCATCCCTTTGGGTATGCCCTTTGTGTTGTGCTGTGGGGAAATTAAAGAATCCCAACTAACCTCCACAATGTTTTCTCTCAACAAGGAGTAAAAACGTCATATTGCTATTTTTTAAGTTAGCTGAGATAACTGGTAGGAGAAGTAAGTAAAGTAATATAAAGTTTGTAATAGCTCTATGGCAAAGTACATGAGGAGTTATTCTGCCATACTCCTTTTCACACCTTATATGCAAGGGTAATAATTCAAATTGTTGCAATTATTCTTAAAAGATTGTAAAAATCCTTGAAATTCAAGAATTTTTATTCTGAAATACATCAACGAAAAACATGATATGAAATTTGTGGAATTATTATTATAAGATTATTCCAACCCCTAAAAATCAAGAATTTTTATTAAAAGTTGGATATGGCTTCAAAATTCTCCAAGTAGCCATGATATAGAACTTTTTATTGAGACAATTCAAGGGCCAGACTTTTTTATAAGCTCATACATTACTTCCTTTATCAAAATGGTAGCTCGAAAAATGCTCTGCAAAATGAAAAAAAATAACTTTGTATCTTTTATGAATATATGTCACAAATCTGACATGGCAAAAGCTTTTCTTGTCAGAGTTCATACCACACACACAATAGACACTGTCTGTGCTGCCCTTTTATCAAATGGTATTTCAGTACTTGCAGTTTGAAAGCGTCACATATTTGATGTAAGAAAATGTCAAAATATGACAATCACGCAAAAAAGAACTGCAAAGAAAAATTCCAGAAATTTCTAAAGGAAAATGAAGCTATATTTCCTAATCTTGCCAGCACAAACAATGTCATTACCATGAATTCACACTGTAATCTGTTTCAAAAGGACATTTCATACCATCATAGCTTATCACAAACCAGTCTATTATCCAAAATTCAAATTTAAAAAATGATAATTGAAACAGGAATTTAAACTTATAACTGACTGCAATACATCAGTGTTAAAACTAGTATCATCAAAGCATTTTTATAAAAATTATATCCAAACAGTGAGTATTTGGTGTAAGAATAAATGGTATTTTCAAATGACCAAATTCATAGATGTATGGATTTTAATATTATTCAGTCAAGTGTCTAAATTGTTCTATCTTTCCAACAGCTGATTATCTGCCTGACAGCAATCCCCTCAATCTTGTCCTCAGGAGAGCTTGGCCCATGTGCCCCAGTTTACATAGGATTAAATGGCTTCATCCCCGATGTTTTTTTAAAAATCAATCACTAGTAAAAAACCATGTTTCTTTACAACCCTTTAACAATACACACACCTCGTGCCCTCATACAAACCATATGCCACAATACTGCTCACCTAACAACTTTATCATACAAACTATATGCCACAATACTACTCCCCTAACAACTTTACCTACACAATTTTTCAATATAAATTGCTAATCAAATCACAGATATCACTGATATGTCTCCTCGATATCAATTTAAGACGCTACACGGTACCTCGACTATTGTTAAGCTTGTACATATCTCAGTACACAATTACGTGGGTGTCGAGCCCACCAGCCTGTCATTCACAAAAACAGTGATTTACCTCCGCAACTCCCAGCGAAAAGGTTGCTAATAGGCTTACAAGTACTAAGGGCTTCATAATTGACCCCTGAAGGATACTTGCCAGTGGATAAATGATCATATCATGTAGGAGGGTTCATACGTTTTTGTAGTTGGTAGAGAAAACCATATTTCTTACATCTCACTGGTTTAAAAGGAATGAAGGCAAAAGGGACTGATTCAGGATGATTAAAGGCACACTCTGACTTGGAAAGTAACTCATGTAAGAGAAAGAATGTGTTGTGATTGTGTTGGTCATGGTCGTGAAAGTATTATATACTAGTTGACCCAATTACTGACCATGTCAAAGGTCACTACTTATTTTACTCGTAATCCCAGGCTAAACAACTGTCATATTAAAGTGAGAACATTATAATCGACATGTTAGGAAAACGTGACTTAATTTAGTATTTTTATCCATAAAATAAACTTTTAATGTAATGGATGACCAGACGGATTATACATAAAATATTTATCATTTTTTTATGAAAAAGTAATCCAATGCTCACAGAATT